TAAATATATATATCGTCAAATATATATATACATATAAAGGGGAATAAGTATCTGACGATCACTTCTCACAATCACAGTGGAACTTCTCACAGCTATATATATATATATATGTGTGTGTGATCGCAGACAGTCCAATCCAAAAATCCGAACCACAGAACATATCTGCAATCACATCAAAGAGTCAAGCAAGAGTCCACACACTACACGGAGTCAACTCCAACCAATCTCTATACTCATACCCCTTGCTTTAGTCATGCAAGCCCCAGCCTCTGTCCAACCAACCATAATTAAATACTCAGTACCTTTGTTAAATGGCCATTCAATAAAAGTCCGGGTGAAACCTTAATAAAACAATAAAATCACCAGGGCTAAGGCCTTTTAGGTTGAGTATTGAGTTGAGTCGTAGACCGACGAATCGGCAACGTGTTATCAGTGATAACAGAAGATGATCCTTGTAGGATCAAATTGAATCTAGCCCAAGTCCTAAATCAATCGATCAAGAGGACCTGTAACACATGACAGGCCAATCCCCCAGGCCAAATCTATAAGTCCATGGAGAATAATCCCCATATCACGATCTCACTCAAATCATCCTAATTAACTAAGCCTAATCCTACCTCTAAGCAAATGTCAAAAGAAAGGTAAACCCTGGCAAAATCCCCTCTATACAGAGTGGATTTTCCAGAATTGTCACCTGTCAAATATAATCTAACTTCTCTAAACTAAAAAAATTTCGTCAGCGCTTCCCGTAGGAAAAGTGCCTTCACACAGAATTTATAATACTCCAAATATGAGAAAAAAACGACCTCTTACTCTAAAAAGTCAAAGTTTGTCTAACTCCCCGAATTAGTAAAAATTTGGGCAGCACTTCCTTTAGAAAGGGAGACCTCCCAGATTTATACTAGGCTAGATACGAACTCAGAAAACAAGACCTGGGTTCAACTAAGGCAAAATTTAACTAACTCCTTAGATTTGCAGAAATTTCGGCAGCGCTTCTCATAGAGAAAGTGTTATTCCAAAATTTATACAAAGCTAAATTCAGAATTTTAAAATGACTTCGACTTCTCAAGGTCTAATTTTGTCTAACTCCCTGAATTAGCAAAAATTTAGGCAACACTCCTTTAAGAAAAGGAGGCTTTCCAGATTTTTACTAAGCCAAAAAGTCAAAAGAACTGGACCTTGAAAAAAACAAAATCTGACTAACTCCTTGGTTTTGTAGAAATTTCGGCAACGCTTCCCATAGAGAAAGTTGCTTACCAAGATTTATACAAGGCCAAGTACAATAAAAGATCTCAGAAAATGCAAAAATTGACCTAAGTAAAAAAAACTTAGCCCAAAAAATGCAGGAATTGAAGCCAACTCCTATGGCTCTAGTACGTGGCGAGCAACTAAAGCAACTACCTATCAGACTGAAACTCAAACTAAGTAGTAGCCTCACTCAGTCACATGCAGGCCAAACCACAAAAGTAAATACTCTCACCATCCCAAAGTCAACTTAGCAAACAATAGTTCATAGTCTTTTAGTGATTTATCCTTTTATACCCAGCTTACATAGGGCATAAAGTTAGACCAACCAAACTTATGGAACATGTCTAGCTCAGCCATGGAGTATACACAAACACAGGGCACCACAACTTTTCTCTTCTTTGAGCATATGACTAGGCCACCCTAGTCGCCCTGAACTATTTAAGTACCCAAGATTTATATAATTATCTTCATTTAGTCTTTTGAGGTAGCATATAACTGAACCGATCATCTTCAGCTCAAGATTCGGTCTGCCCCTTCATACCCCAATTTTATTCTTAATTAGTACTCTCTTCAGTTGGTGATAAGCTATAGTCAGACCACCCAAACTTATGGAACCCTGTCTGACTAGCCTGTTCATAAGTAATATAGTAACACAATATAGCCAAATTATAACCTTCCTGGCTCTAGCATGTGCGAGGCGTTGGACCAAGACCACCCAAACTTGTGAAACATGTCTCGGTCCTCAGCCTGGTTCATTTCTCTCAAAGCCAAAGCAGGAAGAGGGTGAGCCACCCAAACTTATGGAACATGCTCAGACCTCCTCGTTCAGGAACTAAAGAAACTGACAAAAACCCAAAGGAAACAAGGCGACGAAGCCACCCAAACTTATGGAACATGCTTGGTCCCTGAAAAGTCATTCACATTCGCACCTCACAAGCTAGAGCAACCAGACCACCCAAACTTATGGAACATGTCTGGTTCTCCAGGCAATCCAAAAATAAACATAGCGTTGGGCCTTCCCAAACTTATGGAACTGGCCCAACCCTTGATTGACTCAGTCAAACCTCATGCAACACTGCCTTTCTCCCATCCTTCCCCCAGATGCAACCCCACAATCTGCCTTCAGTCAAACAATGAAACTGAAACTGACATTGCGCATACATTCCTTTACTTAGTTTGGTTATCTCCTGAAAGTCAAACTGGAAGTCAAAGTAAGAGGGCATGCAGTATATTCAATCAAAGTATACAAAGGAATATAGATAGGGGTTATAACTGGGTTTATAGATGGAAAGCAATGATTACCTCTCAGTTCCCTGCCTCCAGAACTCCTCCTGAGTTCCAGCAGAGCTCCCGCAATCGGTGGGTGGACTCCCCACAGAGCCTTGTTGCGGTCCTACGGGTTGCAATCCTGCCTGCCGCCTTCCTCTCGTAACCACAGACTAGACTTAGAGCAAGAAGAGCAGAAGATAAGGGGTTTCAGACACTCGAGATACAAAAGGGGGACAACTCAACCCTCAAGAGAGGGCCTTGATACCTTCACTCGCCTGAGGACCCCGCAATGGCGGCCAGAAAGCAACAGTCTGGTCAGTCTCTAAGTCAGATTGCCGAAATCAATCATCTGACGGCCTCCCAATTCGCAGCACTAACCCCCCGCTGGTAGAATCTGATCACTCCTCTGAATCCCCACACCTCTCCTTAGCCCCATTCGTCTCTACACAGCAACCTGAAGCAATATGTATCGATCAATTGTCAGCTGGCAGCAATTTGTCACTGTCCACATCAGAATGGAGCAGTGTGCAACAGTCAGCCACCATATACAACAGTATGGAGCAGTGTACGGCAGTCAACCACCGTATACAGCATTATGGAGCAGTGTACGACAGTCAGCCACAGTCAAGCAGAAATCAAACTATCAGCTAATGGTTCTCTGGCAATTCCCCCAATCACAGAATCACCCAACGTAGCAAGGTTCACTAACCCTCCAAAGGTTCGGTCAAAGCTACGGCCAGACACGTATGTAACTCACGGCTGGCCTCATACCACTTCGACCGATAGGACAGATGGCGTATGAGTTAGCACGTACGCCTGCTCCCCAAGGACTTCCTGCAGCAGCTTCGCCACACTGCCATTCAATAGGCCAAACAGCTTGCTGGTCAACAGGGGGACATCTGCAGACTCATGTTCTCCTCCCGCTGTTCCAGTTCAGCCACTAATCGGCAACGTGCAAACCGATATGCAAAGCTTCAACCCCGTCGCACACTCCCGCTGTACAGTCTAGGAAGGTTGTCGGCGCACACAACAATTGTGCCCAACTACTTTGTACAATCAGCGCAACTTTGCACAGACACAACACGCTCCTCAACTTAGCAGCGTGTCCAATGGTTCAATAGAATCACGCGAACACACCTGTCCTCAATCCCCGGTACTCCTGCCTCTGAACCATGCCATCCGCACCAACCAACAAGCTCCCAAGCACCGCAGCCAACGCCCCTACGGAAAGCAACAACAACTCTCTAATGCACAACAATGGCCTGCCCGGGTGATCCAATCACGGCTGGGAAGATCAACAGCAGACTCGCCAGAGAAACTGCAGTAGTATAAACCCACAGCAAAACGGCGGACCCGCAGGAAGCCAACAACTGTAGCTACGAAAGAAGTCCGCAACTTTCGAACCTCGAACAATCAGTCACTCGAAGACTCAGTCTCACATCGGTATGATCAGCCAGTCAGCCCCAAACGCACGGACTAACTGGGTAAGCCTTCATCCCAACTACCTGCCCCTCGTTACTTTTACTTTGAGTGAGCAGAAATCGGAACGAAAATATCAAAAAAGAAAAAAAATCTCTCAAAGATACACTGCAATTTCGGCTGCTCGGCAAAACTCAACGAGTTTTTCGTCAGAATATGGAAACATACACCTGCCAGATAAGTACTTAGCCCGCAGCCAGACCCCCCCCCCTTTTTCTACTTACGCCTCTCTCGCTTCCCCGTTGGCTAGTCATGCAAGAACGGGATGAACTTCTTGTGTGCGCCTCCTCTCTACCTCCTTTTTGTAGGATAGGCTCAACCGGATGAATCTTCCTCTAAGACGCAGGAGAATACATCGGCGCGCTGCAACAGGTACGTGCCCCCATACAGTACGACGAAAGTACTTTGACCCCAGCGGCTGACTTCCCCGCTCGAACGCTCGTCCAGGGGTATGCAAAATTCGAATGAATCTTCAGCTAGAACACGGAAAGATACCCTGCCAATTCCGAATTCGCCCCTTCCGAGCGTAGCACCTTGCTAACACCCCTCCGAAACTAAGCACTAATCTTCGAGTCTAACATCGCTATTGGAATCACCCAACTCTGGAACTCCTACTCCGCAATTTTCCTTACTCGTCGTCGTCAAGAATCGAACGAGAATTTCGCTCCCTCATGCGGCCATATCCGGTTCCGGAAGCTTCGCGCGGTACCTTTTCTCTCTTGCTCCTAATCTACTAACCTATTACTAAAACTAACAGCAGATCCGGAATCGCCTGCCCTCAAAACCCCTGTGTCAAGCCCTTTCCCGCCTGATTCTATCAAGGAACGGGCGGGCTATGGTTTTTACTCCCCCGCCATAGCTGCTCCCACCATCAATACTCCGCCTGCACCCGGCACAACCTTCCGTCCGGGTTCACTCGCACCTCTCCCCCCCCCTTTTTTTTTTTGCGTTCGCACTCCGCTTGGCCATGCTCCAACCCTCGAAGTTCCTCACTCAGCGCTCACCTCCCTCAACCGACAGCGCCCCGACACAATGGTCCGCCTGACAGCACCGACATGCCCGTCCGCTACCGCTTCGCTCGCCCGATTCCTTCCTCCTTCGTCTCCGTTTCCGAGTGCACCTGGCCCTGCCGCCATCTGGGTTTCCCACTGACCTTTCCCCATCGTTGTGCTCCTCCTTGCTGCGCATGCACCCGGCACCAGATCTCGTCCCAATTCATTCCACCATTTCCACCATCCCGTCTACCTCAGCCACCACTTCCTGCCTTTACCGCGCCCTTGTAGTCGGAGACCACTCGGCTCTATGCTGCGTGCTCCCCTGTTCGTGCCAGCTCCGTCATCATAGTTGCGCTATCTGTTTCAGCTCCTTCCATATCCCCCGCTCTGCATGACCCGTTCGTCACAGCGTGCGGTACAACCGTGTGAGCCTAACGACCTCAGCCAATTCTGAGGGAGGTTTCAGAGGGAGCCGACCACTGGGCTGCTTGCTCAGTCCCTTGCCCCTATACCCAAGTTCAACGAACTGGTCTGCATGGGGCGGCTCCATTACAGCCACCCCCCTCCAGTTTAGTTCAGGTGGGTTTTGCTAGCGCCTCGGGCCCCCAACAGCCAGTTCTCACACAGACGGCCGGTCGCGGCATGGTCTGCTGCAAGGCTTAGAGTGGGCCTTCGTGAATTGGGCCCAATACGACTATCGGCGGTCGTAACAAATATTCAAATGGGAACTTTCAAGACCTAGATGGAGGGGGCTTCTAGGTGAACAACCCCCGCGCCCTGTATCGTTGCGGGTCTCCGCCCGGTTCCCTCCTATGCCTTGGCACAGTCCCCTCCTGTTGACCCTAGCGGGCACGCTCACACTCAAACCTCTCACAGCCGACGTTGGGGGCGGGCTGTGCCACTGCCACCACCATCGGGCCGTGACCCCACAGGCCTACTCGGAGTGCTCTCCAAGTTCCCTTCCACTTCAGGCTATCGATTCTCTCCAAGTGGGAAGTGAGGGAAGCCATGACCACTAACCCCTCCATCCTCACGCACGACAACCCCTTCGGTCCAAGTTCCGACATCGGTAGTACGCAGGAACCCGAATTAGTCCGTCAAGAGGGGTGCGTGCTCAAGATCCTTGACTGCTGCATGACCGCCTACGTTCAAAAAATCTAAATGGTTGAGCTAGGCCCATCGATCTCGACGTCGGCCTCAAACTCAATCACCAAGCTAAGGACTCTAGGAACCGACAAAAAGCATAATAAATAATAAATAAATAATAAATAGTAGAATAAACATTGCGCGTCCCGCTGACCCGTGACAACACACATGTCTCAGCCAAACTTACCAAATACAAAAAAAATATATCATTTATCCACAGTTTAATTAGAAGTAGAAATTTTAGTCGGCGATCAACGTCGGCCTCAGTGTCATCAATAAGAAGAGAGATCATGCGCGCCTTAAGCCCGCGCGTCCACACACTCTCTATTCTAGCCAACCATTCAGTCAACGTAAAACCACAGACACAGCCGTGCCTCACGCGGTATACTTAACTTTTAAACCAAACTTATTTCTGTCGCCTACAAAAATCAGGGCGGACACCCTTGTAAGGATATTTACACCGACACCGCTGGGACGATCATTGAAATAGCCATGAGAAAGGATGAAAAGGATGTGAGAAGGGAAAAGGTCGGTGAGTCGGTCATTGAAATAGCCATGAGGAAGGGTGAAAGAAAAGATGAGAAGGGAAAAGGCCGTCGAGTCGGTCATTGAAATAGCCATGAGGAAGGATGAAAAGGATGGGTGTGAAGGGAAGAGGCCGAGGGGACAGACACTAAAACAACCTTGAAATACGATTGAGAAGAGAAGAATTGGAGGGCAGGATAAAAGAAGGCAGACATCAAAATGAGAAGGGCATGGACCGTTGGGACAGTCATAAGGGATGGTTATTGAAAAAGTGAAAACTGAGAGGTAAAAGATGGGCCGACGGGTTGGTCATGAGAAGTGGTCTATTGAAAAGAGGTCACCAGATCGGTCACAAGAAGTGGCCTCGTTGAAAAGAGGCTGTCGGACCAGCCATGAGAATCGGCTTTGAGAAAGAGTTGGGAAGAGCATTGGATTGAGCGTTTGCCTGAGGATTGGAAATTGCATTGCATTAACAGGGAACCCTAGGCAATTTGAAAAGAGGTCGCAAATCGACCATGGAAATAGAAAGTGATTGAGCCTTCCTTCTTCTTCTAGTCTCAGGTCTCAGCATGAGGGGGATAGTGGTGCATGCACTGCGACCCCGGGACCTCTACCCGTAGGGAAATGTCCAAGCGCGACCTGCCCCTCGTAAGTAGGGCACTAGGTTAAAGGATTAAGGTATTGGTCAGGGTACTCGACATCCGGAACCAGCTCCGACAATGAGCTCTAGTCGAAAGGTTCAAATTGCGCCTCGCGTTGAGTTCCTAAAAAGTTCAGGGCGCTGAGATGGGCCGAAAAGTTGTTCTTCTAAGTCTTGATGACCCTCTCTAACCACACGCCACGCCGTTGAAGGGCGGCCTGGCCGTTTGGGATGGACCTAGGCTGCTCGCGCTAAGTCAAGCGTCACTTTCCACGGGGAAGGTCGAGGCGAGGTATCGGGTGGAGTCCGCCACCACCACAGGGCATTGACACCGCCCTGCCGGAGCATTACAACCGTTCCGGGGACTAACCGCGAGGGCTTCGTAACTGCACTCGCAAACTAATAGAGAGCCCCAACTCTCTTGAGAAGGAAGAGGCCGGATCCACAAAACTTACCACTTGGGAGGAACGATTCGCGAAGGAGCCACTTTTGGTATGATGGGGTCCTGAGAGGCATGGACTGGACCTGCCTTACAAATGCGAGGAGGCACCTCAATGATGATGCCCATCTCCAAAGAAGTGGCTGCCGAACTAGAGTGGAGGATGGGGTGAGTTATCAGCAGGGGGAGGACTGATCACCCTTCCTTTTAGGGGTTGATGGGCCGGCATCCGTCTACTTAGTTGGCAGGCAAGGTCTGCGTACCTCCAAGTGAGGACCAGTTGCACGATGGGGACATCGCGACTGAGTGGGGGGAAGGTGTGCCATCTACCTAAGAACAAAGCGTGTGAAAGGAACAACAGGCAAATATATGTGGAAATGATTGAGTTGGGCCTGAGAAAAGCCTGGCAAGATGCCCGTGAGAAATGTATGACGAAATGATTGAGCTGGGCCTGAGAAAAGTCTGGCAAGATACCCGTGAGAAATGTATGTGGAAGTAACTAAGTTGGGCCTGATAAAAGCCTTGCAAGATGCCCTTGATAAATGTATGAGGAAGTGACCAAGCTGAGCCTGAGAAAAGCCTGGCAATATGCCCGTGAGAAATGTATGTGGAAGTAACTAAGTTGGGTTTGAAAAAAGCCTGGCAAGATGCTCGTGAGAAATGTATGTGGAAGTGACTAAGTTGGGCTTGAGAAAAGTTTGGCAAAATGCCTGTGAGAAACATATGTGGAAATGACTAAGCTTGGGCTTGAGAGTATGCAAAAGTAATTGAGCCTGGGGTTGAGGAAGGCCTAACAAAAGGCCAGAAAAAAAGACTTATGGGAAAAATTGACCGAACTCGAATTTAAGAAAGGCCTAGCAAAATGGCCATGAAGCGCACAGGAAGAAACGGTATGAGAATGAGTATGGAAGCTTAAGAAGAGGCGGAGGGCATTAAATAAGAGAAAAATGAACCTGACCTGAGACCTCAAACAGGCGCAGGGCCAAGCGAGAGGAAAGCATGGCATTTGAGAGGGAGGAAAAAGATGGCGTGGCACACAGGTGGCAAGGGCCAAAAAGTCGATTAAAGTGATGCATTGAATGGTCGGGAATAAAGATGGTATGTACCGAGAAGTCGGAGGATGGACGACTAAGCTGGGGTAAGGAGAATGGGTTGCCGGAGCCGAAGGAAAAAAAACTTGATGCACTACGGGTGATGAATGAGACAAAAGAAGCCGAAAGGAGGCTTGATGTTCTAACAGTCATGAATGGGACGTAAAGCTTGATGCACTACGGGTGATGAATGAAACGAAAGGAGCCGAAAGGAGGTTTGATGTTCTACGAGTGATGAATGAGACGAAAGAAGCCGAAAAAAAGCTTGATGTTCTAAGAGTGATGAATGAGACGAAAAGTTTGATGCACAACGGGTGATGAATGAGACGAAAGGAGTCGAAAGGAGGCTTGATGTTCTAAGAGTGATGAATGAGACAAAGGGAGCCGAAAGGAGGCTTGATGTTCTAAGAGTGATGAATGATACAAAACAAGCCGAAAAAGGGCTTGATGTTCTAAGGGTGATGAATAAGATGAGAGAAGTCTGAAGGAAGTCCTAAAAAGAGAACTTGACCCTCCACACACCCCTCCCCGCCCCAAGAAGTGGAGACTAGAAAAGACCCCGAGAAAGGAACAAGAAAAGACAAAAGGGACCTTGGCAAACTAACTCCCTATTACATCCCTCTAGACCCTCCTACTGACGGAAGACCGGTGCGCGATGAGGACATCGCGAATGAGTGAGGGGAATGTGTCGGGACCGGTGGGTCCCGAATAACGCCCCGGCACTTGAGAGTCAGTATATAGCCAAATTGTGCACGACAGAGAAATCCGGAATAAGGAGACGAGAGAGAGAAAAGACAAAGGACTAGGACGGGACCACCGGGGGGAATGATGCCCTGGGTTGAGAATCGCAGGGAGAAAGAACCGGCAACAACAAGCAAGCGCCAGGACAGGGGCGCATAGGGGCATAGCATGGGGCCAGGAGGGTCATTGGAATTCGACATGACGAAGGCCAAGGGGCCATTAACTTTGCAAATGCGGCACGGCGGACGACAAGAGAATAAGGAAGCCAAGAGGAGGACGGCCCGGTGGTCGTGGGACGCTAGAAAATAAGGGCCCAACATGGGGGCCGCCTACGACAATTAATGAAAACTACGGATTGGAGGTCCCGCGACCGGAGAAACCGGCACAAGCAAGGCCCAAGTGAAGACAAGGAAAAAAGGGTCGCCATAGGGCGGTAGTCGCCAAAAGAGCGTAGAACACCTTGAGGAAAAGTATCGGGGACCACGTGAGACTAAGTAAAATAATCGTAGCCGGAACAAAGTGTCATGGACCACTGGCGGGACAACTGTCCGGGACCACCAACGGGACAAAACTGTCGGGGACCACCGACGGAACAAGTGGCAAGGACATGTGAAGGTCTCAAGAGAAACAGCAGAGCGGCATGAGGAAAAGACAATTAAAACAAGATGCACCGTCAAGATCGATATC